GGAGGGTCGTAGCGATCCTGACAGTCAACAGTACAGCCTCTAAATTAAGCAATATGCAGTGAGTTAGTCTATAATTTGATTTACTTATGCTGCCCCCCTCCCCCCCCCCCCGTGATGGCTTGGCGCTTTCCCTATCACCATTCCCGCCCCCCCCCCCTCCAGTTTCCAGCGGGGGAAAGGTTACATTTTTTTTTATTTGATGTTATCTACTTATATACAAGAAGGTACATTGGGTTCATGAGAGTACAGAGATTTGACGTTTGACATTCTTGTAAAGCCACTAGCACGCATAGTGTTTCGGGCAGAGCCTTAATCTAACTTATAATTTTAAGAAGGTAATTTCTAGCAAAATTACAAAAATGTTTATAGGTACATTGTAAGAAAATACAAAAATACATTGTAAGAAAGTATACAAATACATTGTAAGCAAGTATACAAATACATTGTAAGCAAGTATAATAATACATTGTAAGAAAGTACAAAAATACATTGTAAGAAAGTATAAATCACTCACAGTTACTACCTACAGTTAGCAAACTGGGGATATTTTATTAAAATTTCTGATAATAGATCATTTTGAATGAAATATTTACATATTTCCTGAGCTTGTTAAACAGCTGTTTCTAAGTTCATATATGTTTTCGCACTCCATTACATACTGACGAAGGATTTGTGAATAATTTAGTTGACACAGTTTACATATGGTCAGGTCTACATTACCAGGTAATAACAAATATATCGCTGAGTCTAAGCCGAGCAGTTGTAACATCTAGAAGTCTGCTGATTTTACTGGATGAACCATAGATGTGTGGCTCCTCTTGCATGATAGTATGATAGATGGAATCACTGGTGTACAGTTTCCTTTACCTTAGATCTACAAGGTGCTGTTGAAGTTTTTGGTGTATTATTTTTCTCAGACTGTTTATAGGCAATCCAAGGTTATAATCAACTCATTTGAAGGCAGATTCTTTGGCTAACTTATCAGCTCTATCATGCATTCGGAGGCCAACATGAGATGGAGACCACATGAAATGAACTCTCTTACCATCATTAATAATTTTGTTGTATTTGTGTCTAGCTTCAGACACGAGCATTTTACAGTTATGTCTTAAAGAGTTAAGAGCAATTAAGGATGATAAAGAGTCACTTACAACTAATGTATCATGTTTGGAGACTTGTACACATTTGAGACTTGGAGACATTTCAGTGCAAGAAGCAAGGCAAATAGTTCGGTATGAAGGGTAGAGGCCCAGTTGTTTATACGGACTCCCCACTCACAATATAAGCCATCGCCCATTGTCAGGACAACTGCACTTCCAGCTGCACCCGTGGGGCGGTGTAAGGAACCATTAGTGTATATGATTTGAGAGAGAGAATGCTCTGTGGACAGAGCATCAATATGGCTTAAGGCGTTGAGCTTTGCCTCAAGACGAAGCTTGGGCTGATCTCTAATTTATTTCTTGGGTGGAAAGAGAGGGAGTAGAACCTTTAGGCTGCGGACATCGTCAACTGTTGATTCACAGGATAATACGGATATCGTCATATGAAGATTTATACAATTATTGTCTGGGTTTTACACGCATAATGCAAATATGGATAAAATAGGTGTATGTGGATGTAATAGACTTTACCTTGACCCCATGAACAAATCCAGCTACCATTTCACGATACACATGCAGTCATCGTCATATGACCAAATCCACAAGGGCCGTGACGAGGATTTGAACATGCGTCCGAGAGCATCCCAGACGCTGCCTTAATCGACTGAGCTACGACATGGTCAAAAGGAGTTGAAACCGAAGTTCTACTGAACTTACTGGATCCTGCAGCCTCTCCGAGGCACAAACCAGGGTTTTACACAACTCCCCGCCATGCACTCGAGCTATGTCAATAGGCCGTTCTCCCTCTTCGCCCTTACTTCATTACACACAGAGATCACAAATTTTGTTCATTTGATGCATCACGCAATTGTGATTTCTGTGTGTCATTCTGAGTTCAGTTGCAGTTTTAGTAATCCATTTTAAACAATGCCGACCTTCAGTAAGAAAGATCTGGAGGGTTTTGGGCAAGGGTTAGGATGAGCTAACCTGAGTTAGGATCGATAACGTACATGTGTATGTTGGAGACATAACACCTGAAAAATAGCCTACTTCACCATTCCAATTCAAGAAATCATTGTTTCCTGATTACTCATTAGAAATTTAATATTAGTAACTCTCCCAATGACGCTCGGAATATTAAGTTCCTTTCTCATATTTAGTCCATCTTTTGTCCACCCGCGGACACCCGCCTCAAGGCTTTGTTCTGCAGTTTGTCAAGCCATTGAGCTCTCTTTCAGACACTAAAGCAGGCAAAGGTTCAGCATAATCCACTAAAGATCTGACGTATGCCAGGTACATCATTTTGACAATTCTGACATTGGCACCATAGCCTCAGTGATAACCTGCAACCGCCTCGCGAGCTGTTGTTCTTGTTTTAGAGTCAGCTACTCAAAACAAAAAGTTCCAAGTTGCACGGGCTATGGTGATCCCGTAAAATCGCGAGCTGTGAACCTGTCTCTCTATACAGTACTGACGACCGAGTCTGGCTACAAAAGGAGCACACAGTGGGAGTGCCCAGTGAGGCGGAACTAACCTTACATACTGGGACGACAAGCAGGCACATAGCCAGAGGGAATAAGAGTAGAATGCGGGCACAGTCTCTCGGCCCCCTAGGAACATTGTCAGGAGTTTACGTTGGTTGATTGTTGCAAGACGTTGCTTCTACACAAATACCAGAAGCCTGATAAATACATCTTGCGCATTGTGTTCATACATTGCGTCCATAACCTCAGGGTTATAAACCCATGGAACCACCTACCTGTAACACGGGGAGGGTGTTCACTAATGATCTTTCCTTCTTTTCCCCCCTCTACCCGTATTCTTACTTTTTATTCTCTACAAGGGACTCCAAAACTTTTACTAAAGCCGACTCCACGCCACGTGGTCCTAAGACGATTGACCGACTTAGGATTCTACAACCCGTATGTCGTGACCTAGGCTTTGAGCAAAACCCTAGAGTCGCCTCCGCCGCCACCACCAGACCAGTAACACAGAGCAATGATCGAGGTCTGGATCGATCATGCTAATTAATCAACCTTGGGGCTTGATCCCCACTAGTAACCGATGACCTTGGAAACTTAGAGTGTGGAATTAATTACACGGTAAAGATGACTTCCGATTTGGTGTTAGAATCGGCGCCCAATCCAACTCTGCCTCGTGTGGACCACGTGACCAGGACAAGTTCACATAAACACATGGAATAATAAAAATGCAAAATATTAACTAATTAATTTATTAAAAGAAAACTAAAACAAAATCTAAATATGTTCACTCCCTGTCACTTTAACACTCCCTACTTGACCTGAACGGCAATGAATTGACTATCCCTATAAGGACTCATAAAGCAACTCTACCTTGGGCGACCAGCTCTAGATGTTGGGGGCTGGTCTTGGGAGAGAGGTAAGATGGTTGACCTCTCCCAGTTGATCAAAAATTCCCGTCGAAGCTGTAAATGCCAAGACTCTGTTACATTTTAAAATCCAACTGGAAAAGATAACATCATTAGGGGAAAATAGGGAACCTTTGCCTAACTTCTGGCTTCCTGTTCCCATCGAGGCCACTAGAGAGATGGTGGCCCTCAGGTAAATTCAGGTACCTGGTAATTAGGCAACTGTTGCCGATTGCATCGTAAGGAAGGACATTGAAGTTGGTGACCAATTTGGATCTCCTGTTGGTAAGATTAACAGGATTCTCCCACCTACCCGGAATATGATAACCAATTCAAACCCAACCTGTTCTCAGGTTCTCAGGAAGTTTCATTAAGTTTCCGCGAGCGCTATGTCATGGGTTCGTATCCTGGCCGGGGAGGATTTACTGGGCGCAATTCCTTAACTGTAGCCTCTGTTTAACGCAACAGTAAAATGTGTACTTGGATGAAAAAACGATTCTTCGCGGCAGGGGATCGTATTCCAGGGACCATAGGATAAGGACTTGCCCGAAACGCTACGCGTACTAGTGGCTGTACAAGAATGTAACAACTCTTGTATATATCTCAAAAAAAAAAATAGGGAATTCAAAAACTATTTGAGTGTACCTGAAAATTCCGTTTACAGAAAACCAAATTCTTACAAAAAACGTTTTCAGCATATATTTTTTATATTTTAAACCAACGATCTATATTACAATAAAGTGATAACTCGAGACTAATTGTTTACGATAAAGGTTCACTTGCTAGTTTACACTTAGATTATTACTAGAACCGTAATATGATTACAAATATTTATTCAGGTGATTTGAGGGGGGGGGGTCTCATGGTAATGGATTTGGTCAGAGGACGAGCTCTTTAAACCATATAGAATAGAGAAAACCCGCCGCAGTGTTTGTTAAAAAAAAAAACAAGAACATAATACTTGAAAATAAAGAGGTCGGAATATATATGTATGCAGTAGGTATTTATAATAAAATAAAAGCGAATGAATATCTTTTTAAATGTAAGGAAATATAGAGGTAATTATCGAGGTGTGTTTAAGCCGGGTTGCGTAAACATGAGCACACACGCAGTTTCACTTCCTGTCTCCACCATCACTGCGTCTTCTGCTACATATATATAACTACACACAGAGCTATATAAAGATACGTAGCTGCATTGTGTAGGCTTCGCTATAGGCAGGTAAAACACATCCCACTTTTACACTATACAAAACTTTTGCATTATACAAAAGCATACTTATGAACGGTAAGACATAGTGTGGGCGTAAAAAATAAAGCACAATAGGCTATTACATGTCCAAAAGAACATTGATAACATCCAGCAAGTGTGTTCAGTCACGGCCTAAGACACAAGAAGCTATTAAAAAGAAGATTTAATTGCTATTGTATTTCCTTATATTGTTATATGTGGCAACTGTGATGAAGAAGTTGAGGGTGTCGGGGAAAGTCAGACCCTCAGTAGCTCCCCAGACGCTGGTGTGGTCGGGTGTATGACTTCCGTGTGTGCGTCTTATATACACAAATGGCTTCATGTGCGATATATTCCCATGTAGGTGGAATATAACATGTGTTTAGGAAGGAGAGTGAACAAATAGTGAGTGTGAGAGACGCGGTGGGCGGCTGTGGTAGACATGGGGGTCGTGTGGTGGATTGTGATAGCAGCGGCCGCTACAGCCTGTCTGCCTGCCATAGGTGAGTGCCCAATTGTTCACCCCGTGTTCTTAGGCCTAGAGAACTAGGCCCAAGAACACGTCTTATCGTCACCCCGACATGTCAGTTATTCTTAGGCCTAGTTCTTCACCCCCCATGTTCCCGGGCCTTGTTGTTCACCCCCATGTTCCCGGGCCTTGTTGTTCACCCAATGTTCCCGGGCCTAGTTGTTCACCCCCCATGTTCCCGGGCCTAGTTGTTCACCCCCATGTTCCCGGGCCTAGTTGTTCACCCCCATGTTCCCGGGCCTAGTTGTTCACCCCCATGTTCCCAGGCCTTGTTGTTCACCCCCATGTTCCCGGGCCTAGTTGTTCACCCCCCATGTTCCCAGGCCTTGTTGTTCACCCCCATGTTCCCAGGCCTAGTTGTTCACCCCCATGTTCCCGGGCCTAGTTGTTCACCCCCATGTTCCCAGGCCTTGTTGTTCACCCCCATGTTCCCAGGCCTAGTTGTTCACCCCCATGTTCCCGGGCCTAGTTGTTCACCCCCATGTTCCCAGGCCTTGTTGTTCACCCCATGTTCCCGGGCCTAGTTGTTCACCCCCCATGTTCCCGGGCCTAGTTGTTCACCCCCATGTTCCCGGGCCTAGTTGTTCACCCCCATGTTCCCGGGCCTAGTTGTTCACCCCTCATGTTCCCGGGCCTAGTTGTTCACCCCCATGTTCCCGGGCCTTGTTGTTCACCCAATGTTCCCGGGCCTAGTTGTTCACTCCCATGTTCCCGGGCCTAGTTGTTCACCCCCATGTTCCCGGGCCTCGTTGTTCACCCCCATGTTCCCGGGCCTAGTTGTTCACCCCCATGTTCCCGGGCCTAGTTGTTCACCCCCATGTTCCCGGGCCTAGTTGTTCACCCCCATGTTCCCGGGCCTAGTTGTTCACCCCCATGTTCCCGGGCCTAGTTGTTCACCCCCATGTTCCCGGGCCTGTTCATTTTGTTATTGCAGGCATAATTTATAACGTGATCACAGAAATAATTATCCACCGTTTGAAGACCTAGAGGGAATTATTCGTAGGCCTATTTATTCACCCTGTACTCGTAGGCCTATTATTCACCCTGTACTCGTAGGCCTATTATTCACCCTGTACTCGTAGGCCTATTATTCACCCTGTACTCGTAGGCCTATTATTCACCCTGTACTCGTAGGCCTATTATATTCACCCTACATTCGTAGCTAGGCCTAATTATTAATTTCTGCATTCGTAGGCCTAATTATTCACCAGATGTTTTCATAATAGCTGACCCCGTATTTATAATTATCCACTCGTGTTCATCTAGTGTTAAAATTTACTTAATTCATAACTGTTCACTATTAATTCACTATTGACCTATCATCTTAATTGTTAACCCATTGATTATATTGTTCATTGTTGTTCACTCGCATGTTTACCTGAATTTGTCCTGAGGGCCACTATCTCTTCGAGTGGCCTTGACGAGGACAGGAAGGCGGCGGCTTGTCAAAGGTCCCCCACATTTGTCCTGATGATTTTTTCCAGTTGGATTTTAAAATTCAACCGTTTTTTTTTGGCATTTACGGCATCGGCGGGTAGGCGGTTCCACGGGTTTATAACCCTGTGGGTGGAAAAGCGTGTCCTGTTTACAGTGCTACAGTGTGGCTTGTTGAGCGTGAACCCGTTGGTCCTTATTCGTGTTACATCTGACCTTATGAAGAAGTTGTTTGGGTCTACATCCTTCAAATTGTGTTGTTTAGTATTTTAAGTTTCAGCGAGATCCTCCCTGTCATAGTTATTTATTTATTTATATATATACAAGAAGGTACATTGGGATTGTGAGGATACATAGCATAGTAATTACAATCTTGTAAAGCCACTAGTACGCGCAGCGTTTCGGGCAGGTCCTTACTCTAAAAATTTTAAGTAGGTAAATACAAGCAAAATTTATACAAATGGTAACAGTTACATAGCAAGAAAAAAATGGAAGATGAGAGAAATTTGTAGGTATATTAAAGCACATAGGTAGCTGAGATTGATTTCAATGACAGCTTGAATGGTAGTTTAACAAAAATTAGTAGTCACAATACAGCATATAGCTACCACATAAAAGAAGACAGCAATGAACACAATGATAAAGTTGTTTGGGTTAAGTACATAAAGATTGGGAGATTGGGTAACACTAGATACAGAGCAAATTTAAAGCTCAGTGTAGGAAACTATGAAGATGAAATTAGGTACTTTTTGGTTTTGCTTTTTAATGAGGCAAAAGTTTGACAGCTTTTCAATTCACTTGGAAGTAAGTTCCATAGACTGGGTCCCTTAATTTGCATAGAGTGTTTACACACATTAAGTTTGACTCTGCGGATATCAAAGATATATTTATTTCTGGTGTGGTGATAATGGGTCCTATTACATCTGTCCAGGGAGAGTTTCAGAGCATGGTTTGCATTTAAGAACAGAGTTTTGTAAATGTAGTTGACACAAGAGAATGTGTGGAGGGAGTTAATATTTAGCAAGTTAAGGGATTTAAACAAGGGAGCTGAGTGTTGTCTGAAAGCAGAGTTAGTTATTATTCTGATAGCAGATTTTTGCTGTGTGATGATGGGCTTGAGGTGGTTTGCAGTGGTAGACCCCATGCACAGATACCATAATTAAGATAGAGGTAGATTAGTGCATAATATAGTGAGAGGAGAGCAGAGTTAGGAACATAATATCTGATTTTGGAGAGTATACCAACTGTTTTAGAGACTTTCTTAGTTATGTGTTGAATATGAGTGCTGAAGTTGAGTCTCTTGTCTAGGAATAGGCTAAGAAACTTTCCAATTCTTCAAACAAGAATATAACCTAGTTGTTCAGTTTGTGTTCATAAATATAACCTCGTTGTTCAGTTTGTGTTCATAAATATAACCTCGTTGTTCAGTTTGTGTTCACAAACCTTTAGTAAAAAAAAATTGTCATGTTTTCAGAAGCTTGACTATTTGTTCAACCTTTGTCCTGAGCTTATTGTTCAATAAGTGTTCACAAAGTTGGCTTCAACTGCTCAGTCTGGGTTGACAAATTTATTGTATAATTAATTAATTGTTCAAAGCCTAACAATTTTTTTTATCCAGCATTCACAAACTAAAATATGCTTAAATTTCTTCAACAATATCAAAAGACTTTACAAAATTTCGTTTATCCTGGTTTTGAAACCTTTAAATTTCAACCATTTGCCTTAAAGAAAACTTTTGTTGGAAATGTTGAACACTACAAATGATGTGGGAATAATTAAAATAGATAAAAATACCCACAATAGATGACAAAGAAACTGCAAAAATGAACCAGTAGGTGGCTACTGGAATTAAATCCCACCAAATGCAAGGAGAGGAACAGTACAACCAGAAGGGAAACCACAAACTGCATTTATCACCACTGGAAAATGAAACTAGAGGAGACCTGATTGCAGCATACAAAATATTCGATGACGCTGACAAAATGTACATGGAGTGATTGCTTAAAATAGGCCGAGGTGTGGGAGGCAGATCGTGGCGATATAGGTGGAGAAATGTGAGAGTTGTCATCACGTTCAATGTATCAGTGACAGTCATGGAGGCTAAATCTATTCATAATTTTAAATGCAGATATGATGAGCAGAAATGTTCAGGAGACAGTGCAGTGGTCAGCAGGTAAGGCGGGGCACAATACACGGAGCTCAGTTGCTGCAGCAGCACATGCACCCCATGCACGGACCCACAATAGAATAGAGAACAAGATGATTGACGATTGAGAGGCGAGTCCCAGGAGGTGAAGGTTCACCCTGCGAGTGTTGATACACGAGTACTCACAAGAACAATACCAGGATTACTCCCTTGGGCAGCATTGAAGTCTCTACCATCAAACACGCCTACACACACACACACACACACACACACACACACACACACACACACACACACACACACACACACACACACGCACACACACACACGTGCCCATATCTTAAGAAGCACATCAACAAACTGGAAAAGGTGCAAAGACATGCTACTAAGTGGCTCCCAGAACTGAAGGGCAAGAGCTACGAGGAGAAGTTAGAAGCATTAAATATGCCAAAACTAGAAGACAGAAGAAAAAGAGGTGATATGATCACTACGTACAAAATAGTAACAGGAATTGATAAAATCGACAGGGAAGACTTCCTGAGACCTGGAACTTCAAGAACAAGAGGCCATAGATTTAAACTAGCTAAACACAGATGCCGAAGAAATATAAGAAAATTCACCTTCGCAAATAGAGTGGTAGACGGTTGGAACAAGTTAAGTGAGAAGGTGGTGGAGGCCAAGACCGTCAGTAGTTTCAAAGCGTTATATGACAAAGAGTGCTGGGAAGACGGGACACCACGAGCGTAGCTCTCATCCTGTAACTACACTTAGGTAATTACACACTTAGGTAATTACACACACACCGAGGAGGACAAGAAATTGATGACCTTGACAAGCTCCTAGAGCGGGGCAGACAAAAGTGTTGCTAGAGTTCATTACCAACAAGTGTAAGGTCACGAAGATGAGAACGGAAGAAACCCAGGGAATGTGTGCACCTTGTGAAGTGCAGGAGGAGACGAACACAAGACGATGACGATATAAACACACAAGTGGAAGGCAACTACAGGAATATGAAAACAAATAAAAAATAGTAGTAGATATAATTGCCATAACACCACCAGATGCACACATCAACAGGCTATTATCACCTGATGCATGTCGGACTGTGTCAAATATTAACACGTAGTTTTAAGGGGGCGTTATTCACAAAATATGCAAAAAATGAAAACTCGTTCAATTTCAATCAAACTTTTTTGACAAGTTGTATATGAAAAGGGTTTCATTTGGTCCAAGTCTCAGCATCGTAGCATAAATAGGAAGGATGAAAAAAATATTGAATTATGTGTCAAAAATTTTCAAAAATGGTCAAAAAAGATTATCAAACAAAAATGTCAACTGAAATCATGTCTATGACTCACAGGTATCACAATAGCATATATTAAAAACAAATTATA